CGAGAGCAAGAAGAGAGATGGACATCCTCCAGCAAGCCTGGTTATATTGCAATCCCCTTCCTCCAGTGTCCCAGCCTGGCAGGTCCTGGACATGCGCAGGGTGGGGATTTGAACTACAGGTGCCAGGTGGGATCCAGCTTCTCTTGAACAGCACATTTCTAGCTGCGCCACACAGCCACCTGACTATAATTACTAGTAGCACCTGTCACACCCTCAACAGTACTTCAGCCTGGATAACAAATTATATAGTTACCTTTAATATATTTCTATAAAGCTAAGCAAAGCTAACGACAGACACTTTATGTATGTTTATAAAATTTCCCCCAAACAAAACCAATGATAAAAAATTATTTTGAGAGTTCCTGAGGTGGAGGAGAGCTTGGGCCAAGAAAGAAACGTGCAGGTAGACACAGGATCACCAGCGACACTCCGATTCGTACACCGGAGGAGGGGAGCATAAATATTCGCTAGATAGTCAGGTTTCAGGGTGAGCATGCTACGTATATTGTTTTATACATATATGTAGGTATATAAAAATATTCTATAATAAACACTTTTTTAAACATAAAAGCGGTTAAATGGTAAAAAGGCATAAAATTATCATCCATGGTTTTGAGAGGATGAAATCAGTGGTCAGAAAATGTATCAGCAATTGAGCATCTTTGAGGTTGTTGGAAAGGTCATGCATATGTTTCTGTGTTTTTCTACGGAGAAAGGCATCACAGCTTCTCCGACAACCCAGTATTACCTAGGTCCCCAGACAGTACTTGCCAGCAGCCATCTATATTTCACTAGCAAAAGTCACACAGAAAAGTGACAGCTGGTTTCTTGACAAAGGACAGCTACAGTGGTGCTAGGTGGGTTTGAACGGATCGAGTCGAATGAGAGATTTGGATGAGGTTGAAGCAATTGCCAATCAAAGCAGTGAATAACCCCAGCTACATGTTAAAGGAAGCGGAAGATAGAGACGGAGGAGAGGACTCGGACAGTGCTAACTGCGACATGCAGCTTTCTATGCAAGGTGGTCTGCGTCTGCCTCAGACCTCAGGCCTCAGGCCGTACCTGTGCCTGGCCTTGGTCACAGTGAGATGGAATTAAACCTTGATAGGTACAAGCTCTAAGACATTTTAGAGAGTAATTGCTGCGGCATACATGAAATAGAGCCATACATGATAAGGCCGATTCTAGTCAATAATCTCGCTTCAGTGGCACTGATCAACATGGGATCTCAAATTTAATAAGACCATTATGAAACATATAAGGGGACTTCAAAAGTTAATGGAAAACGAATTTAAGGTATGAGTTCATTTTGGTGTAAAAAATGTGAAATCCATGCATAGTTTGTTTTTAAATACATATTTTCCATGAACTTTAGGAAGACCCCCACCGCCCCTTTCCCATATGCTAAGGAAACCATTTGTGCTTCCGAGGTAAGTTAGGTAAATGGACAAACTGAAAACATTACAGCAGCTGATGGGCGGTTACATTCGCTTGTGGAACACCTCTAGGAACCAGGACTCTCCTCCTGGTGAGAACCCACAGGACACACTCACACACGGCCCTACACTCGGTTCTGAGCTAGGAAAACACACCAATGCGTGTAAGCTGCCACTGAGGATGAGGCTACGAAGTGAAGTGACGGTTATTGAGAGTGTGAATACCTGGAATACTCGCAGGAGAAATAGGGCCAGACCGTGACTGGTTGCTTCCGACAGGAGAGCCCACAGGAGAAGGCGACGGGCCCCCAGGGATGCTGGAGAGATGGGGGGACGCGTGTGGAGAGAAGGGTGACTGAGCGGGGTTGCTCTGATCACCCTGGCTGCTCGTGGACCCAGATGCACTGACTGCTGAGCTCAGGGTTGCTTCCGTGCCCGTGGGGAGGTCGTCGATGGAGCCAGACAGGTCCTGGGAGAGAGAGACAAGCCGGTGTTTACACTCTACACACACACGCTCTAGTACCTGTTCACAGACTGTCTGAAAATCAGTGACCATAACCCCATCAGAGAGGAAGTTTTTCTGGGGACACCCCAAACTCAGTGCACGGCCACTTTATTAGAAAACCGTCCTGAGCTAGCTCATCAGCTGAACCCCTAAGATCATGGTTATCTCCTAAAATACAAGTAAGCTGTGCTTCTCTTTCATAAAACCATTCTTGATCGGATTTTCCCCCAGCTGGGAACACCAGTCCCCGAGGCCTGTTCCCGGTGCCACACTCAGCAGATGGCACTCTGCCTGGGGACTTACCTAGGCACGGAACGCCAAGTTCCTAAATGATTACTTCAGTAAACTACACAACTGCAGGTTTTAGGTCCTTCTCTTAGAATTCAACATTGGAGGAGCGTTTGAATTTCAAACTAGGATATCTGAATGCAATAGCAGTTGAAATTTTAGCTGAACGTTGTGGTGAAAAAATTTTAAATTGTAAGTAATTGCAAAGTGCTATGATAATAAGATAGTGATGTCTATTTTTGTATGATATTGTGAAAATAAATTCCTTTGAAGTTATGTTAGCAGAAATGAATCCTCGTGTTATACTGCACCATACTTTTTACAACCACTTCATGTTGTTAACGTCATCTAATCTGATAGTAACACTCTCTGAGGTGGTTATTAAAATCTCCATTTAATAGGTACACAAAACTGAAGCTCAAGGAGTCAAAGTTACTTGTTGAAGGTTACACTACCGAGGACGGAATGCAGGTGCTCAAGATGGCACGGGGAGATGAGGGGCGAGGGAAGAGGAGGTCACCCCTGCAGCATCACCAGACTGTGAGGAGCACACGGACTACCCTGCTGTCTTTACTCTGTCGCCCGACCTGGAAAGGAGGGTCATGTACTCAGTAGGGCCATGGTGGCAGCTGAGCTTCCAGATCACCACGTCTCCACATCCAGTCGAGGGTGGGACCTAGACACTGCGGCGTCTGAAGGCCAAGCTGCAGTATAAAAGGTCTGAGCCCTGGGCAGTCTGGCTCTGCACTGCAGAACGGTGTCAGAGATACCTGGTTACCTTCTGTGTGCAGGCGTGTGCGGCCCTAACAGCCTTCATTCATCCACTTTTGTCAAGGTTTAATTTTACCTCACTGCTCACTACTGGGACTTCTGAAACTAGGGCTTTGAAAACTGGTGAAGGGAGATGCTTAAGATTCTAAGGGTTAATCTAGACCAGAAAAACATCACATCGGCAGGTAACACGGGCCTGGCGCAGCTCTTTAGAGTACCAGAGTGGCCGGAAGCAAGCTCAGGATCGAGTCCTCATCCTCTGGACAGTTTCGCTGCTGATCGTCTATTAGAGCCTATAATTAACTTCTCTTTTATTTAATAGCAAAATGATCAATAATTAAAAAATAGTTCTAAAGTATTGCTGATGAGAACTTTATAAAAAGCTGAATGTTACAGAAGAACAAAAATGTCTAGTGTTGGGAACCAGCAGTTAGCGTAATGGCTATGTCGCTGGACTCCCACGTAGTCAACTGCAGTTTGTGTCCCGGACCCGGTGGCTTAAAACTCACGCCGGGCGCGTGTGCGTGCATGCCCAAGATCCTGAGAGGAGAATGGAGGAGAAGGGATTGCGGCGTGACCATCCCCCCTGGGTGGTGATTTCTCGCTTTCTGTCTCTATGTCTCTCTCTGTCTGTCTGGCGAGCGCACGCACCCTATAGCGTGTTATACTGCACCATACTTTTTACAACCACTTCATGTTGTTAACGTCATCTAATCTGATAGTAACACTCTCTGAGGTGGTTATTAAAATCTCCATTTAATAGGTACACAAAACTGAAGCTCAAGGAGTCAAAGTTACTTGTTGAAGGTTACACTACCGAGGACGGAATGCAGGTGCTCAAGATGGCACGGGGAGATGAGGGGCGAGGGAAGAGGAGGTCACCCCTGCAGCATCACCAGACTGTGAGGAGCACACGGACTACCCTGCTGTCTTTACTCTGTCGCCCGACCTGGAAAGGAGGGTCATGTACTCAGTAGGGCCATGGTGGCAGCTGAGCTTCCAGATCACCACGTCTCCACATCCAGTCGAGGGTGGGACCTAGACACTGCGGCGTCTGAAGGCCAAGCTGCAGTATAAAAGGTCTGAGCCCTGGGCAGTCTGGCTCTGCACTGCAGAACGGTGTCAGAGATACCTGGTTACCTTCTGTGTGCAGGCGTGTGCGGCCCTAACAGCCTTCATTCATCCACTTTTGTCAAGGTTTAATTTTACCTCACTGCTCACTACTGGGACTTCTGAAACTAGGGCTTTGAAAACTGGTGAAGGGAGATGCTTAAGATTCTAAGGGTTAATCTAGACCAGAAAAACATCACATCGGCAGGTAACACGGGCCTGGCGCAGCTCTTTAGAGTACCAGAGTGGCCGGAAGCAAGCTCAGGATCGAGTCCTCATCCTCTGGACAGTTTCGCTGCTGATCGTCTATTAGAGCCTATAATTAACTTCTCTTTTATTTAATAGCAAAATGATCAATAATTAAAAAATAGTTCTAAAGTATTGCTGATGAGAACTTTATAAAAAGCTGAATGTTACAGAAGAACAAAAATGTCTAGTGTTGGGAACCAGCAGTTAGCGTAATGGCTATGTCGCTGGACTCCCACGTAGTCAACTGCAGTTTGTGTCCCGGACCCGGTGGCTTAAAACTCACGCCGGGCGCGTGTGCGTGCATGCCCAAGATCCTGAGAGGAGAATGGAGGAGAAGGGATTGCGGCGTGACCATCCCCCCTGGGTGGTGATTTCTCGCTTTCTGTCTCTATGTCTCTCTCTGTCTGTCTGGCGAGCGCACGCACCCTATAGCGAAAATCTCTCCAAAAAAAAAAAAAAATGTCTAGTGCTAAGAAGAACAATAATATTTCTAAGTAAAATACAGAGTACTCTTCAATGTCAAATAGTTATGCTAATGAACAACAGAACAGGAACAGGACTGAAAATATCACTCTTAGAAGAAATGGTTATCATTTCTCCAAAATAAAACGGGGTAAGTGGAATCCTTTCCAGAATTCAGAGATAAAATACATAAATACACAAATACGAGATGCATGATTTTGCACACGCCCATCCTGTAAACCTCTGTGTTTATCTTGATCACGGGGTCCAACAAAGAATTCCATTTAGATAGTCCTGAGTCAACCTTTTGTGAAACCAGGGCAGCTGCCAGAGTTCTTCAAGACGGACTCAGCCTAAGACAAGAGCAGGCGCACTTACTGCTGATGCGCCGAGAGTCAGGAGCAGTTTCCATGCCATACCTCCACGCCCGGAGATGCTGGCTAGCTTCTCACTGTGCACAGCCTCAGAGCTGGGGCGGGCCCAGGATGAGGAAGAGTGGCTGGCATCCTGGATCTTTCTTTCAGGGTTTGCCTCAAAGGCACTTCCTGAACCTGATATACTCAATTCACAAAAATGCGAAGGGACACACCTGCAGTGGCTCTTTGAAACAGGCATTGCCAGCTGGCCTATGGGCCAAAATTAGACCCTGACTTTTGCTCCGCCCACAAGTTATGCACGCCTAAATAACTTTAGGAAAAAAAGACTCAAACCAATATTTTGTGACGCATGTAAAATATGTGAAAGTCAAATTAGGATGTTTGAAGGCGGTGCACCCGCTCCTGTAAGTGCCATCTACGCTGTGTCTGCCCGGCTCTGCAGGGGGTGGTGTGATAAAGGCCACGGGCCCGCAGAGCTGAATGTACTTACTGTCCAGGCCTTACGGAAGAAGCTGGCTGACCTGATTTATAGACCCACTACTGGAGCCTCGATGCTATGTCTTTGCCCTTTCCTCAGGGGAACCTATGAATGAAGACAGGCCGCAGCAGCACTGCCCGGACACTTCCCATGTATCTCGGCGGGAACAAGCTCTAACGAGACCAGGGTCCGACTCCACTGCTAGAGCTACCTCAGAAATACCAGCTGTGCCCCCCATGCAACTGTACCCTTTAAGGTCACAACATACCAGGCAGCCTCCTCTGAGGAGGGTGGTGGCCTCCATGAGGAGACACTTACGCGACACCTGACAAATGGCATTTCTAAAACACAAGGCTGATTAGGCAAGAATCAGCTGGAAGGAAATAGGCTTCCTAGGCTCCTTTACAGAAAAAAAAAAAATGTTAGAGACTAGTGATAAAACCATTTTCTATTATACTACCTAGGAGTTAAACATAGGAAGAAAAGTAGATTCAATTTTTAAAAAATGGTTGAGTGTAGTTAAATAATTTTATGCAAATTTTGCTCCATAAAAACCAAATGTTGCTTTGAAATTTTTGTAATTCTCTGCACAGCCTACAAACTCCTTCCCTGTCCTCCCTTAAAATTCCACACTATGGCTGAAAGAGTGACACGGATAGGTGTTTAGAGAGCTTCCAGCAAGCTGCAAAAGCATCAGAAACATTTCTGTTATTCAACAAGCTGATCAAGGAACTACCAAGAGAAAAATATAAGGATGGCGCCTTTCTTCGCATTCACGTGTCATCAGAATTTCAGTGCTGACTAGATCTCGGCGTAACAGAAGGGTAATAAAAAGATATCATTTTTATATTACTGTTATACACACATGTAACTTTTATATGTAAATTATATAGAAATATTCCCGCCCTGCAGACACTTAGGCTATCCATATGTAGAGCTGCCTTAAAGCATGCTAATAAAAGAAGTTCAACAGTGGTTTCGCATTCAGCCTAGTTAACAAAGAAGCTCTGTAACTAATACTCCTCCGGAGGACAATTTAGTCGGCAGGGCACCAACTCTATTCTTCTTTTCTAAGTACTATCAGATCTGTGATGCCTGTAAAGAACAGAGAGACCTCACTGCATCTCATTCTACCCAAGGCACCTTCAAGCTACAGTGCTCCCATTTATCTTGCCGCAAAGCTGGCAGCTAAGGTAATTGCAGGGAGGACTCTTTCAAGGGGCTGGAGT